GCAGCAAGTCTCTGTCTAGCAACTGGGATGCGAAAGAACCAAGGAAGGGTTTAGGGCTGTCAGATTTCAGTTTCACTGGGCACTAAAACACCATCAGAAAACTTAGGGTGGAGCCCAGTGGACTGGGAAAAAGTGTAGCTGGCTGCCCCAGGGATCACCAGGGACACACCTTATATTCAACCCCCAGCAGCAGACTAATACCAGATAGCACCTGCCAGAGCACTTTCTCCGCCTTCCGTAGGGCCTTCCTGAGCTCAGAACCCAGTTAGGACAGGATCCATAAAGAAAGAGCCTAGCACTTGCAGCTGACAAGGACTGAGGAAGTTCCAGGGATGACAGCGAGGGCTGGCCAAGTCAGGAGAAAATCCACAGTGTGGGATCCCAGAGCAAGAGACTGTCTTACCCTGTCAAGAGGACTTCCACCATGATGAGTCAATTTCTGGCAGAAAATTAACAGCTGGAGAGAGAGTAGGGAGGGTGAGGTAAACCATCTGGCTTCATGAAGCCAGAGCAGCTGGGCTGAAGAAACCAAGACAGACAGAGGACAGCAGAAGCTGGGAATATTATGGGAAAGAACCAGTGTCTAGGGCTGTGTTGCCCAATAGAGCAGCTGCGGCCACATTCGGCTATATAATTGTTAATTAATTAAATATATTTGAAAAACCAATCCTTGGCTGTACTAACCACATTTCGAGTGGCTGTATTGTAGACAGTGCATATGGAACATTGCAGGAAGTTCTGTTAGACAGAGCTGGTCCAGAGGCTTCATTTCATCCCTTAGGTTTGAAATGCCCTTGGGCCCTAATTTGTCCTGCAAGATGAAAATAAGTCCCAAGGCTTTGGCTGCTCTTATTCCAGAAGTCTGGGGTGCCAGAAAGGTCAATGAGCGATTTTACTTTGGTCCTGTTCATCTTTCTGGACTATTCTCAGGCTGGGAAAAGCTGAAAGGGGAGGCCAAGGCTTTGATCACAGGGAACTGCCAGGGTCAAATTCCCTCCAGGGTCATCCCCTCAGGGAGATACGGAATGGACAGCAGCCACAGGGCACGAGATACCTCTCTGCAACAGCAGACCTGCTTCTTCATCCCTCCATGACCCATGCAAAAGTTTCTAGGGAGCAGAGGAGTCAGGACCCTTTCACTGGGAGGGCCTCCTACCTTTCTGGCAAATCGACTTGAGGAGGGCAAGCCTGGAGCCCCTCCTCTCCCTCCTCCTCGCCTCATTGTTCTTGCTGAGTCATTGTCGACAGCAAACCCCAGGCAACAAAGTGACATTATCAGCCCTTCTGTTACTAAGACCTGTAGTTAGCAGTGGAGTGTCTGTGCCTGGCCCTGCTTCTGAAACCAGGTTCTTGCCCTTCTCTCCATGGTGATGTCACAGCTGCCCGAGTGGGCTGAAGCCATGGGACTACCCAGGGTCAGCCTGTCAAGCCAGACAGGTTGTCGTGGTGGCTTTCCTTTCCCCTGCCATTTTCACCTTGGGTAAAGTCCAATCTGGAGCTTTCACTGGGATTATACAGAATCTATGGATCGGTTTGGAAAAAAATGACGTGTTTGTAATATTGAGTTTTCAATTCATGAACACAATATATTTCTCAATTTACTTAGTTTTCTTTAGTTCCTTTCTATGAAATTTTATAGTTTTCTCTGTAGAGATGACATTTTTTGTTAGATTTATTCCTAGGCATTACATATTTTTTCAGTGCTTGTCATAAAGTATATCTTGAATTTTTTTTCTATCTTTGCTGATGCATTCCAATTCCCTATAGGAAAATGACCCAGGTATCTAGTTACCTCCAGACAATTCTCACCAGGACTTTCCCATGCTGACCAACTTGGTCTTATACAGTCATGTAGGACCCAGGTACCATTCAGCGTCTCCTACTCTAGGGGAGGGATCTCCTCTGGCTTGCTATAGGTGTTAAAATCAATAGTACTATTACCTACTACATTCTCTTCAGACATCCCCACAGATCCCTGATGTTTTAGTGGGGGACTGAATTGCACTAAACTGGTTTATACTTACCCATAATTTTTGGTGTGTTTGGAAAAGAGCGTCAACTTAAGGAGTGGGGCAGTTGGATTTAAGGCAGGGATTTACTTGAGTAAATTTCATTTTCCATGGTGTGGTGAAGATAACAGAAATGAAGAACTTGGCAACATCAATCACCATGAACACAACGAAAGAATGAAATAAGGTACAAAATGAACAGCCAACCAACCGACCAACAAACCAATCACAGAGACTGAAAGGATAGAGAAGTCAAGCACTGAAAACTTCCTGTCTTCTGCATCTTTGCTGCCTAACTGTCCTTTAACGCCTAATGCTGACAAGTGCAGGCTGATTCATAGCATGTATAAAGAATCATGCCAGTGAATAAAAGGTGCTGAACAGAATCTCAGTTAATGGTGAGATATGAAAGCTGTTCTATATTTCAGAAGTCACTGGTGCTTGGGCCACACCCAGCCAGATAGTTCTACCAGGACTTCAAGTCATTTCTGGTTTGATTTTCTGCCTGAAATATTGGAAGATGCTTTTCCTGGAGTCTATTCCCTAAACGAAGAACATAGCTTAATGAGAAACTTGTTCTCCTCAAGTCCCAACTGGTCAACCTTCTTTGGCCAGACAGGTCCAGTGACCCTTACTCCTCTTTTGCCAGGAAGTCCTTTTAGAGATATTCACAGAAATTATCCATTTTCCTTTCTCTTTACACCACAGATTGACCCTGGCATGTGTGAAATGCAAACAGCCCCAGGATGGTTCTCTTACTTCTTTGGGAAAAGTCTTTCTTATTTTACTCCATCCTATCATAACAGAAAACTAGGGATTGAGGAAGCTGGGAGTTACTTTATGGTTTAGACCACCGCAGCTAGCTACTTCCTAGGAAATGGCTTACTCCTTGATCTGCAGGACTTAGGTAAGGGGGTTTTTCAGGCTGAGGTCCCTACAGGGATCAATTTTATTTGCTTCTTAGGCCAGGTCTGCCCAATATATCTTCTGTAGTCATGAGGAATAATTCACAAAGTCCACTGCAGGACTCTGCAGACATCAGACATCATCAGAGACACATCTGAGTCAACTGTGGAATGACTCAAGGCTTTGAAATATTTAAACCATATGTCTCATGAAACTAGGTGAAAGTGATGCCAGTTTCCCTACTAGAGGCTGTCATCTGCGACTGAATCTCAACTTGGCAATGATCCTGCATTCCCAACCTCACCGCTCATGTTGCTGTGGGCTGTGAACCTGTCAGTACTGCAGGGCTACATGGCCTAGAACAGGACCACTGGTAAGCAAAGGTCCCATGGGCCCTATGAAAGGTGACCAGGGAGATTCAGTGATCTTCTCTAGGTCAGGACAAAATGTATGCCCCTGAATGGGACTGGGCTTGGAAGGGAAAGTGTAAAACGTATATTTAGTGCCCTGGAGGAGGTAGAAAACACCATTATTATCACCAAATGACATTTACTAGGAGTCTTATTCTCTGAAAATTAGCCAAGATCCCCAGGCATTCCTTAAGAGAAGGAATCAGCATTGCAAGGATATTGTCTGTTTTATCTTGAAGTCCCTCACAGGTTGTTTCCCTCTTTCTGAAAAGCACCCAGCAGTACACTTGACATGGAAGATGCTTGCTAACAGCTTGGCATGGTGGAAATTACATCGACTATAAAGTCAGATTCTATTCCCAGTTCTGCCACTTAATAATGGTGTAATTAATATTACACTTAATTGCTCTGAGGTTCACTTCCCTCTTCCCTAACATGAGGGTGCTAATACCTGTGTTATGAGGGTGTTTTGAGGATTATGTGCAATGAGGTATGTGTATCACATTGTAGGTTATTCAGAAATGTTAGTTGAATTTTAATTCAAAGAAAACGATAGACATCTTGTTAAATGAATATGGATCCAACAGCCAAGGAGCACTTCCCCTGTCCCAATTAACCCCAGGACAAGTAAGAATTTGAATGAAAATGGAGTATATGGACAAAGACACTTCCTTTTTGTCTTCTGTCTCCTGTGTTGAATCTGTGTGTAGTAAAGGAGGGGGAGAGGAGGCTGAAAAAGCTAGAGAGATTTCCTCAAGTCTGTAGCCATATAATTCTCTTAGAACCAACTCTTTACTTCTCATCACTCTCCAAAAGGAGCTGAAGCTATATTCTCCCTCAAGAGCAGCTGCCTGTGTTGTGAGTGCTAGGCCAGTGGATGCCAATGATTCTGATCTGTTTTCAGGGGTGGAAGATGGCGGGTGATGCTCAAGTCAGTCCACTCCTCCATTATCCAGGAGAATGGGGGTAGGGCTGGTTAGGGAGGGCACAGAGAATCCAAAGCACAAGCAATCCAACCTTCCCTACCCTGCCTCATTCAACCAATGGTTCTAATCTTTCTCCCAGCTTTTTTTTTTTTCTTTTAGAAGTTACTCACAAGTAGCAAGCCACAGACATTTGCCCTTCCTGTGATGGAAAAGGCAAGGGAACAATGAATTAACTTCTGAACAGGAGGACCGCGTAGGCTGGAAAATTGAGCCCTGAGCAAATGAAGTCCTGGCTGAGCTTTTCACAGTGAGGATGGTCTGTGGCCAATGAAGGGAGAGGACAGCAGCCTGAGTGAATCTGCGGAGGGGGGCTTGTTGTGAAGAGGTTTGGTTTGGTTCGCCAATCTGTGGGCAAAATTTCTTCTAGATTATATGCTGGGGGATGAGGGTGGAGACAGGATGGAAAAGAGGAGAAGGACCAACATCTGTCTTGTTGGAAGAAGAGACCCATCACAGGGAGGAATCTGTTTCCTGTATTTCCCAGCCACAGACTAGAGTGGAGACTATCTCAAGTGGTTGTTCTGGTGCAACTCCTGGTAGGCTTAGGAATTGTGTGCCATTTATCTTTCAAGAAGATGGGGTCTTTCACTGATTATTTCTGCCCCTCACTCTCCTTCTTTCAGTACTGGCACTCCCCCTTGTCCATCCCTCCAGTGCCTGTAGACCAGACACCTTTCTCAGAGGCCTACCTTGGGTTTGAAGGCAATGAGCTTCAGAATCATCTCCACGGTGAAGAGGCCAGTGAAGAGCATGTTGAGGATGTTCATGGCAATTTTGAAGAGGCAGCTTTGGCCATAGTGCTGAGGGGAGGGGAAGGACTGTGAAAATGAGGCAGGGACATCCCTACTCCTTACCACCCTCCTCTCAACAGAGATCTTCCTTGAACCAAGCCCTGGAAGGCCATTCACAGCTCTGTGGGCAGCCAGGTGGACTCAGGAAATCCTGCAAATTCTTCCCTTCTCTGATAGTTCTGAAAACACGGGTTGGCAGAGTTCTGTGTTTCTACTTTGACTGGTTATGACAACTTATGGAGACTTCTGGTTCCTAAGAGAGCTCAAGCACAAGTTGATGTCCCTGAAAACAGGTGGATACAGAATCAATCTCTATACCCATGCCTCTTCAGGCTCTCCCTCTCTTCTCCATTTCCTTCACTGTTAACGTTTTATTAACACAGGCCTCTATGGATTGATTCTCTTATAAGGTCTCAGAGAAGAGCTCATTTTTGAGAAGGGACACTTGTCCTTCTCCATCTGAGAAAAGAGGGCAGTTCTGCTCCTTCTGCCTCTCTTGGCCAACATGAAGGTGACACACTGGAGACAGCCATGCAGCTCTTTTATACTTCATCTCCTCCCCTAGCATCCTCCCTCCTACAGCTGTCATGGATCCAGGGTCCCCCTAGGACTGACCTGCATGGCCAAGCAGATGGTGTTGAGAAGGATGAGGACGAACATCAGGTATTCAAAGTAGGTGGAGTTGACCACGTACCACACTTTGTACTGATGCTGGTTCTTGGGGATGTACCTCCGCAGGGGCCGGGCCTTGAGGGCATATTCCACGCATTGTCGCTGGGAGCGAGGCAGCAGGAGGGGTGGGGTGGGAATTGAGAGAGGGGGTTAGTAACCTGGATGATGTGTGGGGAGATGGCAGAGGAGGTGGGGTGTGGATGAAACTATATACCTTGGGCATCATAGAAAAAAAATCTATCTAGCTCATTTACAGCTTTAAGATGTTATTTGGACTGTTTTTCTTCTATCATTCCCTTAATCAAGGAAAGCATTGCCTCTAGTCAATTTCCTTACCAAGATTTTGTCAAGGAGCTTGTGTCTCCGTTTTCCAACTTGGTAATGACTGGTATACTGCTGACACTTAGTTGGCCTTTGATAAATACTTATTGAATGACAGAGAGGTGGTCTTCCCATTGATTATTTCCTATGCCTCGGACTCTCCTGGGGGCACCTCTCAACTTTTCCTTCCTGTCCTAAGTTGGTATTCCTTATTTACCCATATCCACAAGATCAGAAGATATAGTTCAAGGATAAGGAATCAGAGCTTGGGCTAGCTAGATTCTTGGGACTCTAACACAGATCTGGTTCATTTTCTCTGTACCAGGCCCAGATTCCTGTACCAGAAACTGGGGAGTCACCCCAGCCTCTTCACTTACTCTCAGCCTCTGCACCCAATCTCTAGGCCTGAGCAATTTAATCTCCTTTATCCTGTCCACCTTCACTATCACTAACCTGATAGTAGATCAGGGTCTAATCATCTCTCATCTACACTTTCTAATTGGCCTCCTGCTTTCCCATCTTACTTCCAATCCAAAGGCCATTCAGCAGCCAGAATGGTGAGTCTAAACCCAAGAGGTTGACATCAAAACCCATGAGCGGTCCAGCTGGCATAACTGGAGGAGAGCTGAGTGTCTTGTGCCATGTACCTTCCCGTACAAGACCTTAAGTCACTCATGGACAGGGATACAGATCCACCTGACTTTCCCTATCGGGGAGCTGAGTTGGGGAAGTGGCCTCTGTGACCACATGCTACAGCTTCATTCCTCACTGACGGAGTTGCCAGCTCTTTCTCATAGGCCAACAAAATACCTTACAGTACTGGCATTCCCATATCATTCCTACTTAAGCCTCTTTCTTGCCCCCACCTCATGCACAGGCCTCTGTGTTTTATTTAAGAAACAATTTCCTAGTGGTTTTCTAATGTCCCTCTCTTCCCCACCCCTGAAATCCTCATGCCCTCATTGCTCTAGTTTCTTTCTTCATGATCAATGTGCCAACCCACGTGGGCGCTTTCTGACTTGACAATTTCTGAGACATGAGGTTTTGTTCCCACAGAATCTATCAGAGAGTCTCCTTAAATAGATGTTTAACCAATATTTGTTGGCTAAATGCACTCGCCAGATCCAGGATTTGCATTTCTTTTGTCCAGGTCCTTCCAGAGGACTGCTCCCTTATTGAGGAGCAGATGCATAATCTTAGTGTCTGCATGGATCTCTCTCCTGACTCCAGCTTCTCTTCCGGGTGGGCCACAAGCTGCCAACTACTGTCATTCCTCAAGTAGCTCTGCTCCCCCGCTGCCCCGCCACCTGTTCCTCTCCTTCCTAGGAAGCTACCTGGTTCTTGTCCAGCTCACAGTTCTTGTATTCCTGCTCCCCCTGCTCCTGGAAGGTGACGATGACGAAACCCACGAAGATGTTCATCATGAAGAAGGCAATGATGATGATGTAGATGATGAAAAAGATGGAGATCTCCACACGGTAGTTGTAGATGGGGCCCTTGTCTTCTGTGTGGGAGTCGATGGAGCGGTACAGCAGCCTGCAGAAGGAGACAGGCCCCAAAGGGAAGCAGAGAGGCAATGTTACCTCTGTGGAATGATGGCACCACTGCTCCTATGGATCCTTGGATCAGGGGTGCTGGAAACAGCTCTAGGATGGGAGTCAGAAGATCTGGGTTCAAGTCCCAGCTCTGTCACTTACTGGTGTGAGACCACGGGCAAATAACTTAACCCCTTTGAGCCTCAGATTCTTTATCTGTACAATGGAGACAATAAGCGTGACTTTCCTACCTGGCAGGGTGATTGGTATAATGTATATGAGGGGGTTTTGAAACCGTCAAGAATTATTTCAATGTAAAATGAGTCATGGACATTGATTTCAAATACTGGAAATATAAGTAAATATTGAAACAGCTTTGCAAACTAGCATAGACTCAGAGGATGTTACAGTGAACATAAAATAAATCTATCTGAGAGCAAACATCCATTTTGATAAAAATACTAGGTAAAAAATGACCCAGGCTTATTCAGATCATCAACAATGGTTTGGACTCATACTTAGGTAGTTTACATATGTCTGCCATTCATCTGGGCCCAGACTACGTGCCCATTATGCTTGTTCTTCTTCATGGACAGGGATTATCCCCTCTCTTTCCTTTGTTACTCTGCCCAGTACTCGGTTATTCTTTAGCTATTATCTCTATTTTTACCACATAAGAATGGTGACTCTCATCTCAGATCCATGTGTTATTACTCACTTAGGAATATTTAGAATTTTTTAACTTTTCAACAGTAATTTTCCTGGAATACACAGGTGGGGGGTATGGGGAAGCAAGGTGTCTATACAAGATATATGAAACAGCCTGGTAAATGTAATGCATTATAAAAGACCAACCAGGCTGATCTAGGCATTATGTCTATGAGGAATTTGTCCTCAGACTTCTGTCCCATTCTTACTTCTCACAGTAATTATAGGCAAGACTTTTTCTAAGGACACTGGGGTAGAGTCTAAAAAAGAGATACCTCTGCCATCTCTGTCCACATTGAGTGCATGTTGGGAGTAGTAGTCTTGAATCCTGTGGTAATCCGGGGGCTCATACCTGGAGAAACTCAGCCCACTCCTAGATATCATGAGAGTAATGACAAAGACCCCTATCATTGTGGGTCACTCTGATGTGGGGACGGGGAACTAAATGAAACTCCTTTTTGGTTGGAATTTCTGAAATGCTGACAAACTTCTAGAAAAGGAAGAGTCTATGTTTCAGCAGTGACCATGGTATGCAGATTGTTCTAGAAAAAAACCCTCACTGCTTGGGAAGGATGCAGGTAAATATGACCTCTGCGAAGGAGTGTGGTAGATTAATAAAACTTGGGGAATGTCTTGGTCTCTAATAAGAAGGTGGGCAGGCCTCAATTTGTATACTCACTCTGGCCATCCCTCAAAGGTAGAGACAGTAAAGAGGGCCATCATGGCCGCCAGAACGTTGTCAAAGTCAAACTTGCTGTTCTCCCAGCTGCGGGGTTGGATGATGGGGTGATCGACCTCCCCATCTTTGTATGTGATGTAGTTACCCCTGAGAAAGAAGGAAGAGTTAATTCTCGGGTCTCTCATCTCCCTTCACACCTGACCCACTGATGACTCCTGACTTGCTGGGTGGGATAAGACTGTCCAGGCTTAAATCCCACAGTACTGGCCATTGGGAAGAAATTGAGAGGGTAGACCTTTTAAGAATAGATAATCTTACATGTCATGTTAATGTGATTAAGTTGCCCATGGGTTAAAGTCCAACTGTCAGGGCCATCTCAGGAAAATGGGCTGTCCCTCCTCTCAGGCCAAGTCACCATCCTCCCCAAGTTAATGAGCTTTGATGCTGGTTGCCCTCCCACTTGTACTCACTTGCATTCTGCCTCAGTCTGTTTGGAACTATCTGAGCAGGTGTAGAGCTTTCCCTGGAAGGCAGAAGAACAAAGTGATTGGAGATGTTCATTAATCAATGAATCAAAAATGATTAGCAATCATCTCTATAGCCCAGCACTGTGCTAGGGACTTGGGATGAAAAGTGCAAGGAGGTAAGAATCAAATTGGGAAGATATGACTTGCATACACAAAGCAGGCAGCGAATAAAGATGCTCAGTGCTGCAAAGACCACTGAAATTTTAAAAAGAAAGGAAACTCTACTCCATGAATGTCGGGACTTTCGGCTGGCCTGAGGAAGGTAGAAGTGGGACAGGGTTTGGAGGGACAAATTAGATAGAAGGAAATCAGGGGAATTTATATGGTTGCTAGGAGAGGGCAGGAAGAATGTTTCAGATGGTAGAACAGCAAAAATAAAAAGATAAAGGCAGAAAGAGCAGAGACCATGGACACTGGCCTCACCATAGCCAAGGTGTCTTGTCCAGATGCAGTAAAAGAGAACCTGGATGGATGCAGGGTTCTGAAAGCTAGATGGAGAAGGGTGGATTTCATGCTGTTGATAATGGGCAGACCACTGCAGGCTTTAAGCAGATGACTGACATGAGGTTTCAGAGGATAAGAGTTCCTCTCCCTTTCTTGCTAGAAGGAAGGTCAGGGACTGCAATGGCAGGCTGCGCTATGAGGGTGAGGGGTCCTTGGCCTGATGGAGAGCACCTCCTTCCAGTCTCTTCCTCTTCCCCTGGGGGGATGCTGAGAGAAGGGGCGTTGGAGGATCCATTCATCCCAAGTCTGACCCAGGCTGCTGTCCTCTTTTGGTTGTATCTGCCAGCTCTGTTTCTCAGGAATACTGACAGAAGGGGAAGGAAGCAGGAGCACAGATCAGAGCCAAGATGTTACCTTGAAAAGCTGCACGCCGATGCAGGCGAACATGAACTGAAGCAGCGTGGTTACAATCACGATGTTCCCGATGGTCCGGATGGCGACGAACACGCACTGAACCACGTGCTGCGGGGACGAGAAGGTGGGGTTCGGGAAGTGCTGGCAGCTTGAGTTCTTTTAGCAGCCATGAGCCTTTCCAAGGAGGCTGCAGGGGCAGCCCCTTTGCCACAAGAGGGAAAACTGGACTCAAACAGGCAAAGCACCATCCCAGGTTCACATGATGATGGAATCCAATGGAACTCAAGGTCACCTGTTGGGTTCTAGATGGCTCTAGGGACAAAAGCCCTGCTAGCTGCCCATTTTATAAGGGTAAGAATATAGGGACCTCATTGTTACATGGGCCCCTGGGTTTGTGTGTGCCTCTCCTTCTTGTGAAAGTTTTGTTTAGAAGTTCTGATTTTGAATGGCTGCCTTGTCCTTGTTCTTTTCTTCCTGAAGTGGTACTGGTGGTACAGGCAGGAGAGTCCAGGCTCAAACACAGCACCCACTTGCTCCAGCCATTTCTCCTCCCTCCAGCCCATCCCCCACCCCCACCCCCCAGTCCCGTGCTTAACTTCCACCAACCATAGCCAGGTAGATGCTCACTGGTCTGCGGGTTCACCACCCAGGCCCATGCTTCTCACCTTTAGCCCCTTGGCCCTGTTGATGGCCCTCAGGGGCCTGAGGACTCTCAGGACTCGCAAGATCTTCACCACGTTGATTGCACTGGACCTGGGAGAGGGAAAACAGGGCAGGAGAGTAAGCTCCTGTTTTGATGGAGCAGGAAATAATGTGATGAGGGGGTGTGTTGACAGTCTGACCACAGGCCAACCTGAGAAAGTGTAAAGACTGTTTTGGGATTTTTTCATCCTGGGACCATTCTCTACTCCCACCTCCCACACCCAGAAGAGCCTAGAACTTGCTGGTGACCCTGGGACTTCCTGTTGGTGTGTAAATAATATGAAAAGCAATTTACCACGAGTCATTAGCACTATAATGTGCGACTCAGGGGAGCTTTAGACAAAAAAAAAAGAAACCCCATCTCTGCCACTTAACAGCCAATGCACTGAGGATGAATTTCCTAACTTTTCTGAACCCTAGTTTTTCATCTATAAGTGGGCCTCATAAGGTTGTTGCAGGGATTAAATGAGGAAACATATCTGTATCATCTAGCAGTGTGCTTGGCACATATGAACTGAGTAAGTGTAGATTTATTATGATGTCTGATGAAGACATCATTGAACTTGAAGAAATGCTATATAGATGGAGGAGCTTCAGGCCTTGTTGGCTGGAGCTGATGGGCATAGGAGGAGATATTCTGGTGTTCTCTCCAAACATGTGTCCTAGGTAGTTGCCCATTACACGCATTTATGAAACCAACTAGTTCATAGCACGCTCAGGACTTGAAGGAATGGATTTTACACAGCAGGTTTTGCATAGGTGGGTGCTAGGGCCTGGCCAGGACTTCTGGGAGCCTCAGGCTATTGTTCTTCCCCAGTGGAAATGAGGCACCATGGTGCAGTTCTCCCCACAAGCCTCTCAGCAGGAAGCCTATGTGGTTTCTGAAGTTATTCATCAACCCAACCCAGGTGGGGTCGATCCCAACCCCCACACACTGCCCTGATTGAGATATCCTCTCAAGCTTTCAGAGAGCCTTATATCCACCCTGGGACCTAAAAAATGTATGACACCTCAGCCAGGGTGATTTCATTCTATGTGAGGTTGGGATAATGTGCTCAAGAGGTATGTGGTAGAAAGATCTGATTTCTCTGGTCCATGGCTCTTTTATTCCAAAGGATTCAAAGGGAATTCCTAGTTATCCCAGTGTCTCAGGGAGGGAGTCTGTTTGCACTGAATTAGAATGGAAGGGATTTTAAGATCAGGCAGGGGAAAGCACAGAATAAAGGCGGGGGTGTTCTTGGTTCAAGGTTAAATAGTAGTTTAGTGGTAGTGCTGGGACTAGAATCTAGACCTGTAGGCCTAGGAAGACAGCTGGTATAATACAACAGATGATCACAGAAAGGGCTTATTCTGTATGTCCCGGTATCCACTCTTTCTAAGCTTGCCATGAAAACACCCTTGGGAAGTAAGACCCTGGATCTCATTCCTCTGCCATTGTTGTGACCTTGGGCAAATCTCATGTCCTGAACCTCAGTTTTCCTGTCTATGAAAGGGCAGTAACAGCCTCTGTCCTGCCTGCCTCACAGGCACGTATATATGTATGTATGTATGTATGTATCTATTTATTTTTGTGAAGGCTGGAGAAGATTGTGTACATGAAAATGCTTTGAGGTTGAAGGGCAGGGTTAACATTAGCCACAGATAGAACTTGGGAGATGCTAGTAATCAGATCCTTTTAATTGAGCAAGTTGGCAACTTTGGTTGTACACTAAAGTCACCTGGAGAGCTCTAAAAACTCCTAAAGCACAGGTCTGTACCCCAGAGGGAGATCCTGATCTGTACCCTGGAGAGGGATCCAGGAAAATGTCTTTTCTGAAACTACTCAGGTGATTCAACTACGCAGCCAAGATTAAGAAATGGTAATTTCCCTGTCTCTATTTCCCCCAACAAACTTCTTCTCATCTGGTGCTTTGATGGGAGAGAGAGAGGGAAGGTGGACCAGAAGATCAGAGCTAGTCATGGAAATGGCAGGCCCTTGGAGCTGAGGGTAGCCAAGGGCACTGGGTGGGAGGCAGGAAGGCCCTGGAGACATTCCTCTCATTATAACTGGCCCGGCCTTGCCTGTCATGGCAAGATCCAGATATTTAAACATATTCTTGCTGGATTGACATACTCCCAAGTGTGACACCATTAAGGATGTGTACAAAAAGCCATAATGTTGTACAAGTCAGGGACACCACCCTGTTCCTGTCATAGTCAAACCAGTGGCCATGCAAGAATGCCCTCCAGAGTCTTGGTCATCCTCTCTGATACCCATTTCCACTTGTGTGCTCCCATCTGGGGCTGAGGGAGTCCTACTCACTGGATGCCAAAGGAAATGAGGGACACGCTGACCACCAGCAGGTCCAAGATGTTGAAGTAGTTTCGGCAAAAAGAGCCCTTGTGTAGGAAAGCCCCATAAGCAGTCATCTGCAGGGAGGCACAGAGAAACATGAGCATGAGTGGTCCCTGCCCAAGCTCCAGAGACCCCCTGACACCTCCCTCTCCTCCCACAGCATCCCTTGGGCAGAACAAGCTGAAGAGCAGTGAGAGGACTGGGAGCAGGCAGGACTGTAGAAGAGGATGGACCAAGGACAGAGTTCTACAAGCATTTATACAAACACCACACAATCCCCAGTGCAGGATGGTTAAGTGGGTCCTTCCACCTACTAGGCCACACCTGACTCTTCCATCCTATATTGGGAGCTTTTTCAGGTTGGACACTGCAATCCCTCTCTCATTTTCCTCCTCTGTTCCTCATCACACATCTGTGGCTTGGGCCCTGAGGGGTCCTTTGCTGACACTGCCCAGACCAGGCTTCCTTTGGATGCAGACTTCCCAACCTCCTCTCCAAAGTCTATTAACAGGGCCAGCTTCAGACACTAAGCATCTGGGGAAAGGTGGGGCATGCCCAGTGGGGTGACAAACTGTCCTGGTTTTCCCAGGATTTTCCTGGTTTAGCACTGAAAGTTCTGTGTCCTGTCCAGGCAACTCTTCAGTCTCAGGCAAACTGGGACAGCTGGTCACCCTAGTGGCCAGTGAGACGTTCTATCAATAACTTTGGCAGTTAGCATCCCTCCACTTCCTAAGTTTAATTGGTGTTTTATGATCTATGCCACATATTTTAAACTTGGTTCTATTATCTTGCTTCTAGACTGATGTTCTTTGAGGCCAGAGCTGTGTGTTTAGACAGACAATGTGGTACCATGCTTAAGAGAATAGGCTCTGGAGCCAGGCTACCTGAGTTTGAATCCCAACCCTGTCATATTTTATTATTTGTATGGCCTGGAGCAAGTTACTCAACTTCTCTCTGTCTCAGTGTCCTCATCTGAGAAAGAGGGTCATGATAATATCTCCTTTATAGGGTCGTAGGCATCAAATGAGTTATTAGGGTAAAATACTTATACTACCCTGCAAATACTAAGCTTCATGTAAGTGTTAGCTGTCACTATAGAGAACCGAATTTGGGGCCAGATAGATTGGATTTGAATTTTGGATTCTTCCTATATAAGGATATCCAGTTTCCTCAGCTACAAAGTGGACATACTATTCCCTGTCTTTGTGAGGCACACACAGAAAGACAACATGAAGGCCCTTTGAAGTCTAAAATGGGAGCCCCTGGGATGGTGATTATTGTTACAGGACTTGGATATTATTACCTCTCTCTGAGCTTAGTATAAAGCCATTGTAGACGTTCAACAAACAACCTTTCCAATTCTGTTGACTTGAATTACGAGCCAGCAGACTTCCAGGTTAAGGGTTGTGGAAGGCCATGGGCCATGAAGCATCAGCCAAAGAGAACAATTTGGAGCTGGTAGCTGAGAGACTGAAAGTGGCTCCCTGGTCATCTGGGGTCCAGTTTATCTCTTTGGAATCAGAGCATGCCCAGGGCAGCATGTCTGCAGAGCAATTCAAAAGCAAACGCAGGGGGAAACTGGCAAAAATAGCTCTTGCAACCTAATTCTTTCCATTTATCTCTTGCTGTAGGGGGTCTCAGGGGACTGAGGCACCTGTGTTCTGCAACAGTCTCTAGAAGTGGGTATATTATATAAAAGGATGCAGGGGAATATAGTTGGAGATTTCTCCTGAAGGTCTGCCATCTGGAGGTGCTTGCTGTCCTGTCTCTTGATGAAGATCGAGGACCCCAAAGACTAGACCTGGGTGGCTCCTACAGTTCACTTAACCAAAGAAGCCCTGTGCCATTAGAAGGCCAAGCACCTTCCCCAGCCATCACACTTTCAGTTTCAGAAAAGGCACTGAGTCTGACCCTACTTCACTCCTGGCTTGGACATGGTGAGGGCATTACAGAGCACACAGAGCCTTCCACAGGAGGGGCACTCCCTGACTAAATGCACTAGTGGGGCTCACAGTGACAATGTCTGTCTTTTGCTTTGGGATCCTATCTGTCAGGGGACCTGGAATGAGATCAGCACTCCAGAAAGTGCGAGTGTGTGTGTGTGTGTGTGTGCGCGCGCATAGGGGCACAGGGGACACAGGCCCAGGGAGGGCTAGAGGAAGAGTGGTCAGGGTTTTGAGAAACGGGAAGTGGACCCTGAAAAAATGGAGCATGTATTTGAAAATCATCCTAGGCATTTAAGACAATGGAAGAGGCCAAGTTCAGGTGCACAGTGCCAAGTGTCCTTCCTTTACCCTGTTTGGCTGATGGCCATCCACTCAGTTCCTGCTTCCTAAAAGTTGCATTGCATAGGAAAAGCCTATTGTTGGACTATTTTCAGGCTGAGGGAAGAAAAAATGTGGGCATGAGATCATGGACTCTCTGAGCTGGAGGGACAGGAAAACCCTTCTGTCCAGCCCAAGCAACTCTTCTAGTTACTACATGCATATTGTTAACTGTACTCACTGGGCTTGGTTCACCTCCTCCCTCCTCTATGTGACAGTCATTTGCAGTATGCAGGGCAACCGTCATGGTCTACAAGCCTTTTCTTTTTAAGGCCAAACATCCCCAAGTCTTTCAACTGTTTTTGACACTAGGTGCCCCTTGGATAATGGGGCCACTGTTGTCTGTGCCATGGTATGAAGCTGAGCCTTCGGGCAAGGCAGAGGGGCCCAGGGAAGGTGATGCGGGGAAGCAGAGTGGGGACTGGGGTTTTTATTTAGAAGCACACTGAGACCCAAAGGGAGTAGAAGAGAGAGAGGGCGAAGGGAGGGAAGGCTCTTGCCATGACAATCCCGGCAAAGAGACCTTTCACTTCGGCTCACGGCAACTTGAAGGAAAAATAACACCACTGAAATCCACAAGGTGAGCTCTGTGGAGCAGTCCTGAGAATTGGGACTCCGAAGATTTTTTGTCCTGGGAAAGAGTTTTCGGTATTTAAGCGCCTACTGGAGTCTGAAGTCCAGGAGAACTCAGCTCACGATGGAAAGGGGTTTACAGAGTATATTTTAACGTAGCTGGGCAGCTCTTGGCTCCCTCTCCCCATGCCAGGAATCAGGGCCTGGTCAGATCCACTGCCCTTGAGTAGAAGAGAAAACCCAAAGAACACCCTTGGTCACTGGAACCAGGGACAGAAACTGGGGTCTGGACATCTCAGGCTTCTGGGGATAAGGTCACAGAGGAGCCATCCCAAGCTGCCCCACTCAACTCCTACCTGGAAGGGATAGAACTGCCATGTACTTTAAAGGGTTGGGTCATGACTTGGGAGTTGCATTAGGAAAGGAAGGGTCTGTCTGCAGGCTGGCTGTGGCACATGGTCAAGTGTGGACAGTGGCTTACATTGGCCCTAGGAAGGGGGAAAAGGGAGCCTGGACTCTCCCAGGAAGAAGACTCCAAGCTGAAGCATATGCTTTAGAGCCTACAGCCCTTCTGTTCGGGGTAATGTTAAAATCCGTCCTGTTGTTCTGAGAAGTGCTGAAATGTACTTTTTCTGGGTCTCAGAACTCACACCCTGAGTCTCAGTTGGAGTGGCTTGGCGATGCTTTGTTTCAGAAGCTCAGAAGTACAGGGACGCCTGGGTGGCTCAGTGGGTTAAGCCTCTGCCTTCAGCTCAGGTCATGATCTCAGGGTCCTGGGATCAAGCCCCGCATTGGGCTCTCCGCTCAGCAGGAAGCCTGCTCCCCGCTCTCTCTGTGCCTACTTATGATCTCTCTCTCTGTCAAATAAATAAATAAATAAAATCTTAAAAAAAAAAGAAGCTCAGAAGTATACTGGAAAAATGTAGAAATCATAATAAAATAAATATAAGTTTTAATTATAAATTAATGTAATTAATAAAATAAAACTTAGAAAACAAACTCTTTCATCCCAGTGCTTTCAAGGGTGGGCTCAATGGATGGGGTAAGTCTGTAACAGTTCCTCAGTCAGGGCTTCAAGCACCTGGGGTTGCCAGCCGCATGTGGGGCCAGGCCTGTGCATTCTCAAGACTGGGGATGGGACGTGGGTGCTCCAGTTTCTTTCAGCTCTTGGTCCTCACTCCCCTGTGCTTAGCTCTCCAGTAAAATTCTCCCCCCTCCATGCTTAGGGCAAGGGGCATCGAAACAAAGCTCTTCGGCAGGAACCCAAGGAGTTAGACGTAATCTACGGTCATCTGTTGAACACCCTCATTGGAAGACTGGCTCCAAATCTTGCCTCAGGCCCATGGTTACTATCACACAGACCAAACTCCAACCTAGCCCTTGTGTCTGCCCCTAGTACTGAAGAAGGTGTTGACAGTGGCTTTCCATGCCCAAATCTTGGAATTTGTGCAGCATTTCTTCTGGGCAGGAGGAGGGAAGGGGGTTCTAAGCAGGGGTCAGTCATCAATGACCCGCAGATGGGATATGTGTGTGTGTGTGTGTGTGTGTGTGTGTGTGTGTGTGTGTGTAGGGGGCATTGTGGACTGGCACAGTGCCAGAGCTGGTGATAGGACAGCACCAATGTTGACACTGTGAACCATCTGCTTCTTCCAGGCTGAGGGGAGGCACAGCACAGGGGATGGGTTTCTTCGGGCATATCACAAGGCGAAGGGCTCTAATTCTTCCAATCTCAGTCTTGAGAGTTAAAAAGAGAGTGAAGAAAACAAGGGAGAAAAGAGACATGCAGACAGAACAGAGACAGAGAAAGCGACAGAGAGTGCATTGCTCAGATTGCATTACCTTAAGGATAATTTCTAATGTAAAGATACTAGTGAAGACATAGTCTGCATTGCCTAGGATCTGAAAAATAAGCAGAATTGGATTAGTGGCTCTGAGAGTGAACTTGGCACCAACAGAAGCATGTGTGTGTTAGCGACAGACAGCAGCAGAGAGCTAGTGCTGGCTCCTGGAGGATGGGGAGAGGAGAGAGGGATTAGGGCTTTACCTTCAGAGCAATTTCAATGGTGAAAATGGTAGTGAAAACAATGTCAAAATAAAACAGAATCTGCAAAACAAAAAGAAACAGGATGGGAATGGGGTGCAAAGGGAGAGAAGTGGGCGGGAAGGAGAGGTCAGCTCCAGAACCATACTACAGGTCACACGAGCTTTTCCATGTGGAGACAGATGGAAGCAAGTTAGGAGATGAGGAACATATACACAGCATTGGATCCTGAAGCGGGGTTGGCCTCAGGCAGCTTAGTGGCTCCAGATGAAGTCCCCAGACACTGGAGGGGAACTTCCAGGGCAGGACTCGGCTGGTCCTGGATCTGGGCAGCATTTGGTTGGATATTTTTCTCATTAATCCAATTCACTTAAAAACTCCAATCAGACCACTGGGATGTGTGTCAAAAGGACAGAGAGCGGGGTTTGCTTTTTATTGCAGGAAAATGCAAAATGCTTAACTCTCATTGGTGTGACTCAGCTAGCTTCTCATGTTGGTGGAAATCCTGGTGTTGGGTTCTTTGGGGCAGGGAAGGGAGAATCCTCCAGCTGAGGACTGCCCAGGCTCGGGGCAGGCTACATGGTTTCATCCTCTATTATATCTCAGGTGATGCATCAGAGTGAGGGCCAACAGCTTTCTAAGAAAACTCTGGATCAAGCAGGTGGTAGGACCACCGAGTGGTTTGGCATGGGTATTGCTTTAGGTTGGTGGACTCCTCTCTTCATGCCTACCTGGCTGGGATTTGACAAAATTTTGAGACTTGGAGATGTAATAGCTCTTACTCTAGCCTTCAATGTTGTTCACCAGAGCCTTGGATTGGTCTCCAAATTTAGTTTTCTACTCTACACAAGGTCATTGGAACTTTTTTTTATATAAGGTCAGCCTCACCATTGGCACCTACTTGACAATGCTCCCCTCCCCAGTGATTGGGACTGGTCAGAGTTTATTGGGAACAAGGCAGGAAGTCAGCGGCTCCTTTTTTTTTTTTTTTTTTTTTTTTTTTAAACTAGGTATGTAAGGAACCAGAGCCTTTAGGGAAACATCCACAGGGCAATGAGAGTCCTGAACTTTGCCAATCAGGCCAGCCTGAGGCATTTGGGTACATGCTCTCTTATATTTGTTTCTGATGGTTTCTACCAAAGTCCTAATCTCTTAAAAGAATGTTTTTTGTGCATCTGAATATAATATTGGGCTCCTGATTGAGGTCAGTCATAGTGTGGGCCTAGTCCCATTCCCGGGAGGAAGGGGTGCAGGGGACAACAGGGAATGCATACATGGTTCCTGAAGGAGGTGTGCTGGACGGGGTCCTCAGCCGCCAGGGAAATGCTGCTGAGCAGAATGAAGAAGAGGATCAGGTTGGTGAAGATCGTGTCATTGACAATGCGGTGACACTGGAGGCGAAATCTGTGTGGGGAGGAGAGGACAGAAGCACATCAGGTAGGCCAGGGAAGAAGCTTCCGGGTCTCTGGAGCTCAACGCTCCTTTGCTCAGCTTGGGAAAGGTGCTTGTTAGTTTGGTGGTGGGCCCTTCGTCTGAGGTCTTACTGCTGCTGGGTAATGACAACCACATCCCACCCCCAGTCCGTGCCCCCACTGTGAGGCACATCTGCACAGAATTTTGCAGTTCCAAAGCACTTTCACAGACAGTTAGCTTTTGACATTTTGGAGGGTTACATCTGAGAACTTTGGGAATCCCTAAATTTTCATATACTTCTGTGACATTAACAACTGGCTCTTTGGGTGGGGGGAGGACTTTTCTTTCCCCACCGTTAAAAAAAAAATCATTTCATAAGATCTTCATATTTTTATGTATAGGGAATGACGGAGCCACCCGGAGACGTGGATGGTGAGAGGCCAGCTCAGCCTGCACTCTGGCTAGGCAATTTGCTCCTGTGTAATAGCTTCAAGGCATGCAATTCAATTCCACACCTCAGAGTAATTACAAAGAACTATGCGCATGGACCTCTGGGCACTCATTGCCAGTGTCACAAATGCTTAGATCCTTGAATGCCAAGTGCGTCTTATATACTCTTGCATACCGGCAGCTTGAGAATGGGATATGGGTGTTATTATCTTCATTTTACAGATAAAAACACTGAAACCCGAGAAAGAGAGGCTGGCCCAGAAAGACAGATTGTAGTGTTTGTGTGTGTGTTGGGAGGGGGAGGGTTCAGGGCTTGAATCCATGCTTTCAGACTTCTGCTCACAGCACTGTGGTGGACTAAATGTTCTGAGAGACCCTAGTGCTGCATAAGCAGCAAATCCTGGAAAGGACGAACCCTGGCAATTCTGGCTTCATCAGAGTTAAGAGGTCTGCAATGATTATCCTTTTCAAACAGATAAACAAACCCACTGAGCCAGGGTCTGTGTGAGAGGTAGCCAGGAAGGGCAGAGCTGCCTGAGGATAGATACCAGTAGCAACACTGCTGTCAGGAAACTGCATTCCAAGCCAGACTTGAGGTAGGTCAAAGAAACCTGGGACTCTCAGGCTGAGACAGCACCCTTAAGAAACATCTGGAAGGAAGTTTCCCAATCTTAATTTAGGTCCACAGGAATCTCACCAACTAAGATGATGTATTGAGGTCATAATCAAAGATTTAGTGCATAAGAGGATGAGCCACTAAGATGGGAAATCAGAAGAAACTACAAACGAGTGATTTAGAACCCTCTCTGAGAGACTGTGTATACTGGACGCATCAGATAGAGAACGTAGAACAACTATATATTGAATATTTGACAGAATAAAGGACTTGAGCACAAAGATGGAAACTCAACAAGGGGTGTATTAGATATAGACAGATGGAGCCGGAAAATCAAGAAGTAAATGGAAATGTTTGAAATGAAAAAAGAATAAAGTCGATATAAAAACTGGCTTAAACAGTAACACAGACAAAGGTGAAGACAGGATGAAGAAACTGGAAGGTATATCTGAAGAAACTACCCCAAACACCGAAAGAGAGATAAGAGATGAAAGATTTGCAAGACACATTAAGAGACAGGAGGACAGAATGAGAAGAACTAACATATGGCCAATTTCGTCAGAAGGAAAGAATAAAGAGATTATGGCTGCAACTTTTCAAGAATTAGAAATTCTTATTCTGATTTTTAATGTTGTTTGAGAACTGGAGAAAAATATAAATCCATAATGCTAAACCTTTGGTTATGACCTCAATACATCATCTTAGTTGGTGAGATTCCTTTGGACCTAAATTAAGATTGGGAAACTTTCTTCCAGATGCTTCTTAAGGGTGTTGGCTCAGCCTGAGAGTCCCAGGTTTCTGTGACCCACCTGGTTTCCAAACTGAGCAGGACAAAGAGAAAAAAATCCATATCTAGACACATGATAGTAAGTCTAAACACCAAGGCAGCAGAAGATGTTCAGAGCAGCTAGAGATCAAGGGCAGATTACCTACAAAGCAATGATAGAAAGAATGATATGGTATAATAATATATTTAACACACTGTGAGACAAATTCTATCGACCCAAAATTATGTACGTAGCAAAACTATTTTCTAAGGACAAGAAATGAAAACAATTAGAGATAAACAGAAGCCAAATGACTTTACCATCATGGAACACTAGGGGCTCCTAAAAATATGTGCTTAGGATGAAAGAAAATGATTGCAGAAAGATGAGATGAGATGTATGAAAAAATGGTGAACAAGTAAAATGGCAAGTTGTATGTACATCCAAATCTACATTGCCAGTAGAATAATAATGATAATGATGACAATGTCTAACTTGTTACGTTAAAAATAAGACTAAAATACTAAGCAACAACAACATTTAAGTTAGGAGGGCTGAGAGGAGTTAAAATAGTATAAGCTCCTTCTATTTTACAGGAGGAGGTCCAGGATACTGCTGAACTTTATACTTTGTTAAGTTAAATAGACTTGGTAAATTACCAAGGGCAATCACCAAAAGACTACAAATAGAGTTTACATGTGTCAAGAAAATGGAGGTAAGAACAGACATAGGTCTTTTGATTTGGAATACAGGGTGCTTTTCCCCAAATCAGCACCTGTTGACACAAGTTGTGGGGAGTTGGGAGAGTCCCAGGCTCCACTAGAGGTCAGAGGATGCTGGCATCTGCTGAGCATGTGGCACGAAGGGAGCAGAGTACCACCTTCCCCACCTTTCTTGCGCACCTGTTGTTGGGGCTGAAGATGAAAAATGCACTGGCTTCTGGCATGGGCACTGCCTTTTCCTTCAGGTGCAGCTCCGAGAGCGGGCGGGGGCGGGGGCCCACAGGCATCTCAGGCTCCTCCTCATCCTCTTCTCCTGCAAGAAAAAATGCACCATTCTAATTAAAAATAGAGCTTCCCTATGACCGTGCAATTGCACTACTGGGTATTTACCCCAAAGATACAGATGTAGTGAAAAGAAGGGTCATCTGTACCCCAATGTTTATAGCAGCAATGGCCACGGTCGCCAAACTGTGGAAAGAACCAAGATGCCCTTCAACGGACGAATGGATAAGGAAGATGTGGTTCATATATACTATGGAGTATTATGCCTCCATCAGAAAGGATGAATACCCAACTTTTGTAGCAACATGGATGGGACTGGAAGAGATTATGCTGAGTGAAATAAGTCAAGCAGAGAGAGTCAATTATCATATGGTTTCACTTATTTGTGGAGCATAACAAATAACATGGAGGATATAGGGAGATGGAGAGGAGAAGGGAGTTGAGGGAAATTGGAAGGGGAGGTGAACCATGAGAGACTATGGACTCTGAAAAACAACCTGAGGGTTTTGACGGGGCGGGGGGTGGGAGGTTGGGGGAGCCAGGTGGTAGGTATTAAGGAGGGCACGTATTGCATGGAGCACTGGGTGTGGTGCACAAACAATGAATTCTGTTACGCTGAAAAGAAAAAAAAAAAAAAAGAAAAAAACACCATTCTAAATAACTCTACTACTCCCACGAGCTTTTACTGCTGTGCTGCCTGCTTCCAGATACCTTCCTACTGACCAGAATCAAGACACCATTTGTGTCTCTGAAAATGAGGGGTATCAACTAAGACACTCAGCTCTCTCCCTGTGAGTGCTGGAATCTTTGTTAGAGATACTTTTCTGGCAGCACATGACAAAGGGGGTTGTAAGTAGGGTGACTAGTTCAATCCCGGTTTGCCAAGGATTGTCCTGGTTTCCAAAGTGAAATTCCCACAGTCCAGGAGGCTCCTCAGTCAGATTTGGATGGTTGGTCATCCTAGTTGTAAGGTGCTAGGAAAGGTGGGGGCACCTGGGTGACTCAGTGGATTAAAGCCTCTGCCTTTGGCTCAGGTCATGATCTCAGGGTCCTGGGATCGAGCCCCGCTTCAGGCTCTTTGCTCAGCAGAGAGCCTGCTTCCCCCCACCCCCCACCGCCTGTCTCTCTGCTTACTTGTGATCTCTCTCTCTCTCTCTGTCAAATAAATAAATAAATAAATAAATAAATAAATAAATAAATAATCTTAAAAAAAAAAAGTGTTAGGAAAGCTGATCAGGTAAGACTAGGACATTGCCAGGTGTCTTGCCCGTCTAGGCTGCATGTACGGCTCAGCTGAATTGCAAGCAGCCCTATCTTTGAAGGTTCTAAGAGTTTAAATTTAACACTCCCATTCCTGAAAAATACCAAAAAATCATGCACTGTAGGGATAATAGGGCAATGATGCTGAACACAAGAGGCCCTTCATTCAAAATTCTAGACATCAGCACCAGTTAAAGAAGCACCTTTGTTCTCCAAGCTAGTGGTCACGTTTACTGTGGACCAAAAGCAAATGGCTTAGTCCTTTGCTTGCAAGGTCACTGCCCATGGTAGGAAATGACTACATATCCTGTTCTGACCAAATGCGTTTAAAAATGTCTAGTAGGGGGATGGGAGTGAGAGCATGGGTTCTCTAATCAATGCCTTGACCCAAATCTTGGCTCTATTTCTTTCTGGCATTTAGTCTCTCTGTGTCTCAGTTTCCCTGAGATACAGAGAATGGGAAAACAGCACATACATACCTCAGAGTGGCTCCTGGCATATGACACATTCTATATAAAAGTTAGCTGTTATGATCTCTGCCCACAGGAAAGACTCTTAGCCTGTAAAGTAGTGTTTAGCGTCTTTTTTGGTCTGACTTCTGCCTGCTGTTCTTCCCTGACAGGCTTTCTACTCTTGCCATGAGCCTGTTTTCTGAAGGCTCATGGTGATCGGTTGAATAATGTCCCCCACAAATTCATGCCTAGCTGGAACGTCAGAATGTGACCTAACTTTAGAAAGAGTGTCTTTGCAGAGGTATTGTCATGACGAAGTCATACTGGAGTGGGGTGAGCCCTAAACCCAAGGACTGCTGTCCTTATAAGGAGACACAGAGACATACACGTGGAGAAAGAGGCAGAGACAGGGGTGATAAGGCTATAAGACAAGGACGGCCAAGGATGGCTGACAACCAGCAGAGACGCAGAGAGGTGAGAGAGGATTCTCCCTGAGGGGGAGAATGGTGGATGGTTCTGTCAACATCTGATTTCAGACTTGTAAGCTCCAGAACCATGGGAAAATAAATGTTTGCTGTTTGAAGCCCTCAAGTTCATGGTTGTTTGTTATGAAAACTCCAGGAAATGAATATACTCGCCATGTGCTTTTGCCTTTCCTTTCCTCATGCTGTCTCCTTATTTGGACTGCCCTCATATCCCTCTCTGCAGAGCTAGAAGGACTGCCATGTCCGGCAGCATCATTCACCTGGCTCTCCTAAATACCTGGGTTCTCCAGAAAGACCTGCCTGCAATTCTGGGGCCCTGTTGGCCTCCTGCATGCACTTGTACTTAGGACCCAATAGCCAGCATACCTGATTTTACATGTATCTCTTTATGTGCTGAGAGAGACACTATGGAGAGAAACACTTGTCCAGTGTGTAGCTGCCCTTGGCTTTTGATGATGATTACACGTTCACACCAACATTTGCTTTATAAGCAAGAGGACTTTGCAAAAGAAGAAGGAGACTCAATTGTTGAAAAGATAGTTACGGAAGTTTATCTTACAGACCAGCCACATCTCCTTATGCTCTCTCCTCTTCTGGTTAAAATGAAGCCAGGTGGTACAGAGAAGAAAAGATACCTGGCACAGAGCGTGGTTTGTTCTCAAGCAAGAAGCATTTAGGGGCCCAAGGCTTTTTTGGAGGACCAGCAGAATAGGCATAAATCAGTTTCCCCCTACCCCGGAGTAATTAGAGTTGACCAGCAAAGCAGTTAATATTTTGAGCAGAAGAGAGACGTGAGATGAAAAATTGTATTGGGCCAAGGGTTGAAGCTTTCCAGCCACACCTTGGTAGGTAAAAGAGATGCGGAGTCTCCCAGTAAAGCAAAATAAATAAAACTGGAGTTGGCTTAAATTGCAATATTTACAAATGAAATTTCACTGAGAAGTCTCTTCAATTCCTGCCCAACTATTTGTATTCTTTTCAGTTGTGCTCTAAATTAACAACTTTCTTATTCATGATAACTTTCTTATTCATGATAACAATGCTTTCTTATTCATGATAATTTGGTAACAGGTAATTTAATGTTTGCTTTAATCATTCGTGTTTAAAGAAAAACATATTTACCAGCTTTGTGGATTTCCGAGTTCCTGGTGAAAAGTTTTGCTTTCTTCTGCAGTAGCCTGCCCTGCTGATTATGAAGCGCGGCCCTGATTCCTATTGCTAGGGAGAAGCAAGCCAGTAGGTTCAGACACATACCAGCTGAATTCCAGGCATAATGTTTAGGAGGAAACCACGTCTAAAGGACAAGCCCAAATTTGTAAAGGGCCAGAAATCTGACAGCTGTGATGCTTTGCATGTATTATGTATAAGGACGAAGTTGGCAGAGTAGGAAAAGTCAGGTCAAGTTTTGTTTTGGGGGTTGGGAACCGAACCACCTACACTCCAGCTCCGGATGCCGGTGGACTCCCTTAGGGATCCATTCTTGCAGGCGTGGAGAAGCGCACTGTGGAGTTGCTGTGGCTTTCATGATGGCAGGTGCCGGTGTTCAAAAGTAAAACCCCCTATGTAGGTGGACGCCTCACTTTTGGTCCTCAGTGATCCTTGCCACCCGACCCCCCGCCTCATTTGATACTCATTTTCATCCCTGTGATTTTGCTCTCAGCCAATTCAAATAAAAATATTACTAACACCTAGCGCATACAGCATACTGAACACAAAGCTGTGGTTCTTGCCCTGGAGGGACCTACAGTGTTGAGTGTGGCCCAGAGTTCCCTGGCATGATTGGCTAGGCCACGCCCCGGAAACGAGCTCTGTGGGTGGCGTCCAGAGAGGGAAGCCTGAGGTTGCACCTGTTGCTGCGCTGGGCCTGTTCTCTGCTGGCTCAGCTCCAAAACCTTATCTCCCCCATTACTTATTTCCTCTCGCTGACTTTTAGGTTGTTAGCAAGTCCTGCCAAATGCACCCCAAGTTCTGCCCGTTCTCTGTATCTACAGCACCTCTGTTTTGGCCCAAGTGACCACTGCCTCTCACGGACCGCTACTAATGCCCTCATTGCTTTCCATTTTACTCTTGGCCACCTACTGCCCTGTTTTCATGCCACACAGTCTACTAAAGATAATTCAGACATGAGATCTTATCTTCCTCTGCCTGAGAACCTCAGGTGAGTCTCCACGGCATCAACTAAGATGGGAACCTCTCAGGTGGCCTCGGAGACCCTGCCCTACTGGCTCCTGCCTGTCTCACCCACATCATTCCCCTTTGTTCTCTTTGCTCCATGCACGGTGGTCTCTTTGGATTCCTCCACAGACCATTCTGCCCAAGAGATTCTGCATTTGCGAGCCCTCCACCTAGAAAGCGCTTTCTTCTGATTTCCATACGTCTAGGTCCTCTGCCTCATCCAGGTTTCAGCCGGAATGTTGCCTCCTTCAGGAGGCCTTCTCTGACCACACAGCCAAAGCAGCCCCATGCCACTGAGGAACTCGTTCACATAGCCCTTGGCTTCATTATCTCCTGGCTGCTCACTGCTACCTCACGACCTTTTCGTTGGCCTCCTTTCTTGCTCACTATCTGTCTCCCCAGAAGACACTGTCTCCCCACTGTAAGCTCCAGGAGAGCAGTGACCTTCCCTGTCTTGCCTGCAGGTGTATTCCTGGGACCTGTCACAGTGCCTGGCCCACAGTAGGTGTCTCATTAGTAGTTATTAAGTGAATGAATACCTCCATGGTTTCTTCCAGCTCCCTGTCTATGACAATAGTGTGGTCTCTCCCCTTCCCCAAAAACCAAGCCCAGCCCAGCCCACTCTTGTCCATGAAGGCTGGCTGTCTCTCCACCCCTGCCCACCTCACGGCTCTGCTCTTATTCAAACCCCTTGAAGCAGCTGGAGCCTTTCCAAAGCATCGGGAAGAACAGAGAATCCCTGTGCATTCTCTGGTGTCATTCACTTTTCTTTTTCAAGCGTCTTTATTAATTTTTAGTCTGCAAACACACATCTGTATGTTTCCTCTAATAAATGACTCGATCAAATAAAAGCACAGTCTTGGCACCCTTCCTAGGTGAGCAGATATTTCTAAAATTTAATGTATGCTAAGCAGGGAGACTCAAACCAACTGTTGAGCTTTGGAGACTCCGCAGGGAGGGAAGGACTGACACGCCACTGCTGGCCGATTGGTACGTTGTGCAAATCAGAAACAGGCCCCTCCATGGGGTCTTTCTTTGAGGGAAAGGGTCCTGGCTAGGGGACTGCAGGTTGGAGTTCATGCCCACTCAGTCACGTCCGCACTCACCTTTGGGTGCAACCTGGACAAGCAAGAACAACAACCTGGCCGGGCAGGGGTGGGGGAGGGCATGGGCATGGGAGGCAGGGAGAGGAGGAAGCCAGAGGGAGATGTGGGGGCAGGGGGAGTTGTGAGAGTATTCTCTGGCCCTGCACCTCCCCGCCCCGGGAGTTGGCTGTACATGGGGCAGGTGTGATGTCCACAAGCACTGTCTCCCAAAGGGCATCTGTGTTAAGTGGGCACAGGAGAGGCCGGATGCCCAGAGGCCACAAAGCAGAAGGGGCAGAGTTGGGAGGACAATGGCAGATAAGGTTCTTTGCCTTTTCCGGTTCAGAAGAGAGAGGAGCCGCTGGGAATGAAAGATTGACAAGAACAGAGACAGCAGGCCAAGTGATCCTGGGAGGGATCCTTGGGGACTTCTGCTGTATCTGGTATTAGGGTCCAGGAGGTGCCCTGCAGTGGCAGGAGAAGGAGGAGCCGGGAAGCAGAGACTGGTCCCTTGGAGGAAGGGAGGACATGGGGAACCACCAGCTTTAAGAGGACACCACCCTTGGGTGAAAAAATGAAAAGCAGAGACAGTGAACGAATGGGGAGCTGTTGGGGCTGGTCTTCAAGGCCTGAGTGTGGTGGTGGCTGAGGCACGACAACCTCAACTACCTATGAACCAGAGGTCTCAACACAGGTGTGCGAGATGCCTGGGACCAAGAAAAACCTGGGAGGGGCTGGGTCTGCAGGAGGCTGGAGAAGGGTGGTCACATGACAGGGGAAGGAACACTCAAAAAACCTACAGGATCCTGACAAATCAGCAGAATGTGGGAAGAGCTTTTAAGTCTAAAAGCAAAACCATTCCAAGAATCCTCAAAGCTGGGTCAACAAAAGCCGCAATTTTTCTGTGGTGGCTAATATGTTGACAATGTCCTCATTATTTTTTTCCCCTGACCTGCTTCCCTTTCTTTCAAAGGGCAACAAAGAAGAGAAAAGGCACCAGTATATTTAGAATGATGGAACTGGAGACTCTGGTCGTAGGTGTAGCTGCCCCACGGCGAGGGAGAAGGAGCAGGCCTGGGCTGCCTATAGCTGGGCACACATGGGAAAGTGCCCTCAAATCCATGCTGTCCCCCTGTGCTGTGTGCAGAGGCACCTGGCCAGCTAGGGCTAGCACCGCCTGGGACCCAGGGGGATTCCTTTCATTACTATCTTTCTTTCTAAATTTGGAAAATACACACAGAGGTCAAGAGACTTGTGCAGTGAGCCTCCATACCCAGCTTCAACAGGAGCTGCTGGAGTATATTTTTAAGCAACTTCTAAATTTTTAGAGTCTATCCATATACACATCTACATGTATAGGCTAGAACTACAATAACAACACTATAGTAACAAAATAAACAAAAACTACCTCAAATCATTAGGTTCCAGTCTCTATTCAATTTCCCCCTGGCTTATCTCCAAAATGTCATTTCAGAGTTAATCTGATGATTCAGGATCGAGACAGGATTCCCCATTGACTTTGGCCAACATGTCTAGTTCTTGAAATCCTGTAAGAATTTCCACCCAGTAGAGCTTTCAGGCTTCGGACACCCTTCCTGCTCTTCCTTTGGTCCAATTCCTAGCAAACGAAATCCTCCTTCCCAGGAGGCAGGAGGTAAGTGAGGGGGAAATGATCGCAGCAAGCCTGCTTCCCAAGGGAAACAAAGATGGCTGCCCGAGTCCTTGCAGACAAGGAGGACAGATGGAGGGCGGCCCAAGGACCTCTGATAGTAAGCCCTCTCAGAGGAGACTGCCTTCCAACTTAGGTGTCAGAAGATGAGAAGGCTGAGTTGTGGAGAATTCTTTTTAGAATAAATGAAAGCATTTTATGAAGCAACCAGTGAGGACATGTGTGGTGGTACTGTCCCTGTACTCAGCACTGTCCCACCCCCCCAACCCCAGTAAGGACAAGACAGAGTCAGGATTTACTATTATTATTAAGTAAGCATAATGCTGCAACTTGCAAATTATATAAGTTAATGATTTTATGGCATAGGATATAATAAAACCTTAAATGTCTATAGAATCCACCTTCCAAAGGATATAAAAGACTGCTTAAACACAATTTATTTAATGTTATGTTGTTATTATGAGGAAGCCAGGAGCAAAGTTCTCCTCCGGATGATAGTTGGTAATGCCTAACTACAGAGATAGAAGACATTTCATGGTGCAAATTACCTGGAGATGGAACCTGGAACTACCCATCCCTAATACATGGTTACTTCCATATGGCTTTAGAATCTAGATCTCTACCTCCAACCTCCCAACCTCAGGGTTAGGCAGTGGGATTGGTACCTGTATTTTCTGGGTTGGGGTAGGGACTCTTATCCTCATTTTCATTGGGCTGGAGGTCATCCATGTTGATCTAAGCAGCCAAACGAGAGAAGGAGGAAGAATCCAGTTAGATACATTCTCCAGTTAGAGAGGCTGAGAGAGGCCTTGAAATTGCATCATAGTCAATGGCTGAGCTGTTAACTCAAAAATAGGTCCTTGTTATCTTGCGTATATCCTTAAAGACATCAACAGAATGCTGGGATTCACCCAGCCGGCCTTCTCTTAACATTGCTAGCCCTCCTGTGCCACCCACATGGGTTTTCTTTCACTGAATCCCTTTCCTTCTTTCCTCCTTCCTTTCCATGGGTGCCTGGCCTGGGACTGTGCCCTCCTTACCCCAGCAATGGGCCTCCCAGATCCTGGAAGGAGATGGCTTCTTACCTTGGTGGTGGGTGGGGACTCTCCATCAGCAGTAATAGATTTCAGTTCAATTTTCTCCTCCTTGGTCTCCTCCACTGCTGGCTTCTCCACCACCTCTTGTTTCTTCTCTGGGCTGGCAGTCCTGGCCGGTCAGCAGGAGGAAAAATTAAATGTTTACTGAATGATAGGAAACATGAAGAAACAAACTACCCTGTGGTCTGCTGGGGACTGGTAGGAACAGATTCCCCAGGCTTACATCCATCTTCCTTCACCTGGGGCATATGGCACATGCCACGCAATGCCAGATGCCACTGGGCCGGGCCCACAATGCGTGGCCTGGCCACACCTTGCTCTGTCTGGTACTCAGTTGGCCTCTTTCAGCTTCTTAGCTGCTACAAGTCCTTGTCTGAATCAGAGGAAGTTTCTGGATCTGATTCAGGATTGGCTTCTGGAAAACTCTGCTCAGTATCCAGCAGATGTGTGGCTGATAAAGTCCCATTTAGACAATGACAGAAGACAATGCAGGGTCTTATCTTGCTTTCTGAACACCGGAGATGAGTTATCAAATAGTGAAAAGGAGTCATTCAGCTGGAACGGCATATCCCTTTGAGAGGCTGCCTTCCTCCTCTCCGCGCCCTTCACTCCCACCACCTCTCATGACCTCCCTTCTCAAGAACACCCTCCAGCTTCTTACACAGGTGAGGAAATCCAGCACCTTCACAGAGACTGTAACTCATGACGGTCCCTACTTCAGAGCCATGCCTAGGTATTAGCAGAGAGGCCCAACTTTCTGTAGGCAGCCCCATACCCGGCGTCCTCTAGGAGGTTTGGCCAACAGAGGCCAGTGCCCAAGCCTGTCGCTACCACTAATGGGAGTGGCATTTCAGAACTGGGACCCTGGGGCCCTAGGGTTGGGTAAGCTTAGAGGGTTACCTGGCCAGCTTCTTTCTCTCCTTCTCTTCTTCCTCCTCCTTTTGGGCAGACGTGAGGCTCTCAGCATCCGCCAGGTTGTCCACAGCAATGGCCAAGAACACATTCAGTAGGATATCTGTTTGTGTCCATTCTTAAAGAAAATGACCCTTGGCCGTGGGGTTTCCGATGGGCTCAGGGGGCAGGGAGGGTGCAGGACATGCAGTGCTTTGAGTGCTCGACAGAGTGAGCTCAGTGGTGACTCACCCCGAGGGTACCCAGCCCAGTGGCATCCCTCCTCCAGCCTTCTCCCTCCCCATTACTCTCCTAGCGACCAGGAGATTTCTAAAGGGGTTGAGAGCAGGCTAGCTTGCAGGCTGGAATGGGCAGCCAGTTAGGTAGTGAGTCTGCCTTACTCTTTAATTGCCAGGTTTCCTTATTGGTTTCCCTACTGAGGTGACTGGCTGTAATTGACATTATAAACAGCATTGTCTCTAGCAGAATGCAGAATGCTCTTAGGAGCGGTTCATGAAAATCGGGCACTGAGGAGGTGCCCTGATCTCTCTGCCAACTCTTCATGTGAGCCTGTGCATACAAAGGCCCTTGGAGCATCCAGCCAGAGCCAGCTGAATCCTGGGAACTCCGAATTGAAGTGGTTATTGGCCCTTTTCTTCTTGCCGCCCCACTCCCCACCCCCACCTCGAACAGAAACACTGTGGGTTGGAGAACCAGAAGTCAAAAAAGCGTAGTTGTACAGGCCCTTAATGTTCATTAAGTCTAACCTCCACCCCCAGGCTCCCAGACAGCCACACCATTTCCCATACCAGGAAGCCACAACCCTCAGGGGTGAAGGGCTGGCCCAACGGTGCCAGCGTACACCCGCCCCTGGCCCCCCACCACAGCAGCAGGGGCTTCGCAATCATCATCCCATTAAACCTCACCGGGACCTGTTAAGCAGTAGGCCCTGATATTTCATCACCCATTTTACAGACACTGAGGTAGAGAGCCTTTAGTTTGCTGAGGTCACCCAGCTGGTAAAAGGTGAGGCTGGTCTGCTGGCAGCAATGCCCAAGCTTTTAGCACTACGTTAAGCCCTGATTTAAACCCAAATCTTGGGCCAGAGCTGCCTCTACTTTACCATCTCCTCTGCACACAACCCTCATGGGGTTAGATCGCCTGTGGCTCGAGACCCCAGAAACCTGCCCATGGCCTGGATCTGCAAGCACTTGTCAGGTCTGCCTGGTGAAGCCTGTCCGGCTCTGCCTGGAAGATAGTCCTGGAGAGCAGCTTCAGAGGGAGGGACACTGAGCAGAAAACAGGGAGGAGAGATGAAGGTCATTTCAAGGATGACGGCTCAGGTCCCCTGGACGGCACTTCTTACTTCCAGCAGCCTTGGCCAAGTGTGTTCACCCTGGAATCTATGTGAGTAGCTGTCCGTACACAACACCAGGGGGCATTGTTCACCCAAACTATAACGAGAACATGCCTCCTGGAGTCCAAACTGGTTTGGGAAGATGAACTTACATCCCCACCTATACCAAAGCTCCAGGCATCCACCAAGACCCTCCTCCACGGCTAAGGTGGTTCTGGAAAGGGACACATTTTCTCCCCAGAGCACACCTTTCCCCTGCTTGCCTGGGGGCCCTGTGGGCGGGCAGCCACACTTTTCAGCCCCGAGTCAGGACCTGCTCGGCACCTGTATTTGGCATCGTGCTGCAGGCTGAGGGAGGGTGGGGCAGCAGGGGCGGGGAGGCAGGAGCAAAGGATACAGTTTCCACAGATGAAGAGGATGATGAAGTAAATACAGACTAACATCCCTGGAAAAGAGGGGCCGCCATAAGCCATGATCCCATCATACATCACCGAATTCCAGTCCTCCCCGGTCAGGATCTGAATGACACATTCCCACCAATAAGGGACACAGCGTTAGACCAACAGCAAACCCCAAAACTCCCCTACCCTGCCCCACTATGTTAACAAAATTGTCTAAAATCTCTTTTCCACCTCTTTCCCTCCTCTTGGCCCCCAGTTCTCCTCCCAGGGGCTCTGAGCTAAGCACCTGGGCAACTTTGAGTCCACCCTCAGACAAAGTGCATGGGCTCTGGCATGATATTATTTGAGAAGTGACTGGAAAGGCTTCCTGGTCAAAGTATCTTCTTCTAATCGACTGCACAAGATGGCCACTATTAGCCATTCCTCTGGGCCCTTGCACAAACGTGAATGTTTTCACTGAGAGAGTACTGTGCTGTTCCAGCTTTCCCCAGCATTACTCATTTGGGTGCCATCTTTAAGATTTGGGCCACACCCACATATTTTTCTTGTAAATCAATCTACTTTGAAACTTCAACAAGTGCTACTTTAGCTTTACCCGACACCAATATATCTATGAAATGACAAATTTGATGGGCTAGTTACATTTTTTTCCTGGTGACAAGCATGGTGTGTAAAAAGACAGAGCTTCATCACCTTCCCCTCCCCCAACAAGCGCAGTCTCCTTTCCTCTGTTTGTACTTTGGGTGTTCATGTAGAATTTATTTGAATAAAGGGGACCATGTTTAAACAAGAGTTTTTAAACTACTCAATTATATTTTTTCCCCCAGTGGTCCATCCAACAGTGGGATTCCATGGGGGACTGAGGGTAGGGGGAACTACAGAAAGAACTCAAGACTCTCACGGGCATGAACCTTCCATGGCTGATCTAGGCTGGCTTTGGTTGCCCGGTGCAAGGTGAAAGTTCCCACCACCTTTTCTCCCCCACAACCCAACCCCACTACTCAACAACCCTCCCACTCATTATCCCAGCAGAGAAGAGTCCATACCTGAAACACGGTGAGAAGGGACTGGGGAAAGTTATCAAATGTGCTCCTCCGGGTCTGCATTTCATCAAAGTTGAACTTTCCTCCAAAGAGCTGCATCCCCAGGAGGGAGAAGATGATGATGAAGAGGAAGAGGAGCAGCAGCAGGGAGGCAATGGAGCGCACAGAATTCAGCAAGGATGCCACTAGGTTGCTTAAGGAGTTCCAGTACCTGAGGACCAGCATGGGGGAGATTAGTGTCCTTTTTTCTGTGCTTTCCTTAACATCACTCCTCACTCATACACCCACTAGAAATTTTAAGATAAATTACAACTCTTTCTTTTCCCCTTTCATTGGGGGTAGTGGCGGTGGTGTGAATTGGACTGGTAAGCTCACAATTAGAGTGTGGAGCTAGTCATTGCAAGGTCCCAGGATCAGTAATATGCAATGGTGAATGGACGGAGCTCTAAGTCAGAAGCCTGAGTTTCATCCTAGTTCTGCCGGTTGCTAGATGTTAGCTGCACTTGGGCAAGTCACTTAACTTGCCTTCTGTTTGCCTCTGAGAAAACAAAGATAACAGTAGCAAATACTTCACTAGGTTGTTGGGAAGATTACGTGAGACCAAAAAAAAAAAAAAATTAGCAGCCCACCCAAAAACAAAATAAAGAATAAACAAGTGGGATTACATCAAATTAAAAAGCTTGCAGTCAGCAAAAGAAATCATCAGCAAAGTGAAAAGACAACCTATGGAACAGGAAAAGATATTTGCAAGCCATATATCCAATAACAGATTGGTATCCAAATATAGAAAGTAGTCAGACAACTCAACAGCAAAAACAAAACAAAACAATAACCAAAAACCAAAACCCCAAATAATCCAATTCAAAAATCTGGCACAGGGGCGCCTGCGTGGCTCAGTCATTTGGGTATCTAACTTTTGACTTCAGCTTAGGTCCTGAGATTCAGCCCTGCATTGGGCTCCGCGCTCAATGTGGAGTCTGCTTATCCCTCTCCCTCCCCTCACTTGGGTGCGTGTGTTCTCTCTCTCAAATCAATCAACCAATCAATCAATCTTTAAAAGTATAGTGTTTAAAAAAAATTTGGTACAGGACCTGAATGGACATTTTTCTAAAGAAGATATATATGAAACGGTGCTCAATATCACTAGTCATTAGGGAAATGCAAATTAAAACTGCAGTAAGGTATCACCTTACCCCATCAGAATGTCCATCAGCAAAAAGACAAGAGATAACAAGCACTGGAGAAAGGGGAACCCTGGTGCACTGTTGGTGGGATTGTAAATTGGTACAGCCACTATGGAAAACAGCATAGAGGTTCCTCAAAAAGTTAAAAATCAACTACCATATGATCCAGTGATTCCAATTCTGGGAATATATCCAAAGGAAAAGAAAACACTAACTCAAAAAGATACCTGCTCTCTCCATGTTCTTCGCAGCATTATTTATAAAAGCCAACCCAAGTGTCTATCAAAGGGTGAATGGACAAAGAACTTATGGCATATATAATACACACACACACACACACACACACACACACACACACACACCCTAGAATATTATTTGTCTGTAAAAAATGAGGAAATCCTACCATTTATGACAACATAGATGGACCTTGAGGACATTATGCTAAAAGAAATAAGTCAGACAGAAAGACAAATACCATAAGATTTCACTTATATGTGGAATCTAAAAACAAAAACAAAAAAACCACTGCACTCGTGGAGAAAGAGATCAGATTTGTGGTTGCCAGAGGTAGGGGGTGAGAGGAGGGAGAATTGGATGAGAGGGTCAAAGGTACGAACTTGGAGTTATAAGATAAATTGGTCATGATGATGTAATGCACACTGTGACAACTATGGTTAACTCTGCTCTATGATATTAACAGAGTAGATTCTAAGAGTTCTCATCAAAAGGAAGGATTTTTTCCCTTTTCTTTTTTTGTGCTTATTTAAGACAATGGATGTTAACTAAACCTATTGTGGCAATCATTTCATAATAAATGTAAATCAAACCATCATGCTGCATGCCTTAAGTTTATAGTGATGTGTGGCCAATTATTTCTCAATAAAACTGGAAAAAATATAATTCCCACTCTTTAAAAAATCCCCTTGTATAGAGCCTGGCACACAGTTGATAAAGGTTAGTAATTACTGTTATCACTATTGGTCTTTAGACAGAAAAACACATTACCATTTTTTCCCCCCAAGAATGCTATTCTCAGCCCAAGGCAGCAGCTGGTCACCCAGGGGAAACAAAGGTTTCAAGGCTCAGTGAGGTTTCCCAGATTTACCCTGCTGTCCAAAGAAATGTTTTTTTATAAAGCCTCTCTTCTGGAGATTCTGATTCAAATGTTGTAGTTTGGGGCCCAGAAATCTGTATTTTTAACAAGCGTCCCAGATGATTCTGACAAGCAGGCAAGTCTGGGAAATCCTGGGTTACAGGAAACCCATTCCACCCTCAGAGTGGGAGTCTGTGGGGCCTTCCCGGGGCAGAGATGGGTCCTTGGTGGGGCGCCTTGGAGAGGAGGCCCCCAGTCCTGATAGTCGCAGACCTCTCTCCACTGTAAACGCAGAGGTTCTCCACTGTAGGCTGGGGAAAATGCCTTCCTCTTGGAAAGAGGAGGAGGCGTGGGCTGCTCATGGCTACGGGATGTGGCTTGGGTCAGTCAGGGTGAGGAAATGCACCATAGCAAAAGGAACACAGCCTCCAGCTGGAGCAGGTGAGACAACAGAGAAATCTTACTTCCTTAGCTTCACCTTTGGCCTGCCTGCCTTCCTGGCCATAAACTTGATTTCCTCCACTTCAGGCATTCCCAGCTTACCACCAATACGTACAGGGAATTGTTTTTGCTGCTCAAAAGGATGACATGCAAACCACTCCTATTCTAGCCACCCAGCTGCCCACTGCCCCAACCTCGGTACTTCTCTCCAGAGAATGGTTCCATATTTGTTGAAAGAAGCAGATGGGCCAACAGTTTGGATGTAAACATGAACTTCTTCCCAGCCTAGAGTCTTTAATGCTCCTTTCTCCTTCACCAATTCAGCCTTTCTCTACCTCTATTTTGCCTGCCAGCCACACTTCTTCCTAATTCCTGATTGCAGAATATTAATATACATTTATTTGTATCCATTTTATAATTGCTCTTCAGTGTTTTTCATTTGTTATAGTCTCCTCTCATCCGAATAGGTTCTGAGCTCTTGAGGACAGAGATCACAAGTTTTTTTCTTCCATCCTCTCCATCTTTGTCCTCACCCAGTACGTGTGACGGACTGCCTGGCACTCCATAGGCTAGAGGTTGTCATATTTGTTCTGCTTAAAGCAAGAATTAAGAGAATGTCTCTGGGGCTAGAATACCTGTCCCTCTTACATTTTAAGCAGTGTCCCCACACCTGGCTGGAGAGGAAAATGTTGAGGGATTTGGTCATTGTCTAAATACCAATTTCCAGGCCTCACCCTGGAACATGAAATCATAATCTCTGGCTCTGGGGCCTGATTGATTTTCACGCAAAATCTGGAAGGTCTAACAGATCATGTGGGATCAGCCCCTCCCACCTCCAGGATGTCATCTCCCACTCTCCCCACCCTTTCTTGCTCCAGCCCACTGCTCCCCAACTGTCCCCTCAGCCTCCATGCACACTCCTGGTCTCTGTTTTTCTGCTATCTGCAGAGGTCTCCCCCAGAACTCTGCATGGCTCGCTTCTTCAGGCCCTGTGGGACTCTGCTCAAATGTTCCCTCACCACAGCGGTCCTCCCTCACCATGTTTTATCTCCTAGTCCTGCTTTTTAATATACTCATCACCTCTTGCCACCAGAATGTCAGGTCCATGAGGGCAGGGAGTTCGACTGCTTTGTTCATAACCTCAGTGCTTAGGGCCATGCCTCGTCAAAGGACGTGATCAATGACTACTATGTCGAATGAACAAATCTTACTATGAATGTGACATATTTATACTTACTGGACGGAAAAACAAGGGGACGTGGGTTTCTCAGACACTTCTGTGCATGTGAGGTGGGAACAGGGGTGGGGGGGTGTTGGGACCGCTCACACATGTACTTAAGTCAAACATACTTTGCCTCAAAGCGAGGAGGGGCTGTTTGCACCTCTTCTGCATCATTTCTTTTCTTATAGCTTCCCTAAATTCATGGTCAGAGTTTCCACTGCCCAAGTCAATCTATTATGTATCAAGGGAATAGACAGATGGTTGCCAGAGGCAGGGGGTTGGGGGTGTGTGTGTGCAAAATAGGTGAAGGAAATCAAAAGGTAGAAACTTCCAGTTATAAATAAGTCCTGGGGATGTCATGTACAGCATGGTGACTCTAGTTAATGGTACCATGCAGCATATTTGAAAGCTGCCAAGAGTAAATCTTAAAAGTACTCATCACACACACACACACAAATGGAATTATATATGCTGATGGATGTTAACTAGATTTATTGTGGTGATCCTGTGCAATGTATACAAATATTGAATCATTATGTATACCTGAAACAAATGTAATATAATATGTCAATGATACCTTAACCAAAAGGAAAAAAAAGTGAGTATATATCAATTGCCCTACAGACAACCAGGTTGTCATGGCTTTGAGACCCTTCTGCTGGGATTTCTCAAAGAGCTCTGGGAATGCATGTCCCTTGTGGAAGAACGCCCATCCTGGTGGCTCAAAACCAATGGCTGTGGATTCGAGGGTTTGAACCAGCCTTTAAGAGACAAACTGCAGCCAAGTACATGGACATCAGCCTACCCTTCTTGTGAGAAACACCCAGGCTAAAAAGATACTGCCTCGAGGACCAGTCACACAGTTCAGACAGAGTGAAGAAAAATCAACAAGTGGTTGTTTATGCTGTTTGCTTCTGATTTCCAGTTGCTTCCCATTCAGCATGGGCAAGGCAGAGTCTGCCCCATGGCTGTTCCTTTGGAGCAGAATTAAGGGAGCAGAGCTGGTGCCAGTGGCCTGGCATGACCAGGGGCATACAGCTTGCTGAACAGAAGATGTCCATCCCCAATGTGCACATGGTTGGAGATGTTTTATGTTCTCTCTAAAGGACTGATTCAAAGGGATTTTTGTACTGATGTTGTGGCAAAGAACACTATTAGGGCTCATAGAGGAGCTGAATTTTGGAGCCTGGCATGCCTTGGCTGATAGCAGGTGATAGGGTGGGACCCTCGTTACCACTGATATTAATGAGATTTTAGGTGACATGTGGCAG